CTGCCCTCCAGTCTGGGCGACAGAGTGAGACTCCAACTCAAAAAAAAATAAAAATAAAAACAAATAAAGATAAAACTAGTTAGCCAGGCGTGGTGTCACACACCTATGGTTCCAGCTACTTGTAAGGCTGAGGCAGAAGGGTCACCTGAGCTCAGGAGGTTGACGCTGTTGTGAGCTGTGATCATGCCACTGCACTCTGGCCTGGATGACAGAGTGAGACTTTGACTCAAAACAAAAAACAAAAAAACAGCCGGGTTCGGTGGCTCAGCCTGTAATCCCGCACCTTTGGGAGGCTGAGGTGAGTGGATTGCCTGAGCCCACGGGTTCGAGACCCGCCTGGACAGGCAAGACCTCATCTCTACAATAAAAAAAAAAAAAAAAAAATCAGCTGGGCATGGTAGCGCATGCCTGTAATTCCGGCTACTCGGAAGGCTGAGGTGGAAGGATCACCGAAGCCCAGCAGGTCAAGGCTGCGGTGGCCAGGAGCGGCCACTGCACTCCAGTCTGGGCGACAGAGTGAGACTCCAACTCAGAAAAAAACCAACAACAACAACAAAAACTCACTTCCAATGGCTCTGTGTTTGGGGTCAGGTCTTCCCTCCTCCAATTTATTCCCCTTAAAGTCGTCTTCCCCACAGGAACCAGTGTGATCGTTCTAAATAGAGATATGTCCCTCCCGTAGGCACAAACCACTAAGTCTCCCCACTGCCCTTGTTACCTTTATCTCCTTTGGCATCTTGCCTGAACTGCCACAGGACACACACACAGCTGTATCTGAGTTGGTCTCTCTCTAGACTGTCCCTAATGGCCTCTGTGCTCAGGCAGCGTGGACTACAAGCTCTGGTCAACACAGAATGAAAGTTTCTCACTTAGCTCTTCTTCCGCTATTCCCTCTCCTCCAGACCCCACCCTCTTAAAGGCTCCACGATGACCAGTGTCGTGGCTCACGCCTGTCATCCCAGCACTTCAGGAGGCCGAAGGGAGAGGATTGCCTGAGCCCAGGGGTTCGAGACCAGCCTGGGCAACTTGGCGAGACCTTGTCTCTACAATAAATAAAAAAAATAGCCGGACTCAGTGGCTCAGCCTGTAATCCTGCGCCTTTGGGAGGCTGAGGTGAGTGGATTGCCTGAGCCTGCGGGTTCGAGACCTGCCTGGGCAACTTGGCGAGACCATATCTGTAAATAGTGTCAGTGGTCTTATAGAGAATATGATACATCAATTGGCCTTGTTTGCAAGATGACCTAGAGTGGTCATCAGTGGACTGTTCCACTTTTCAGACTGATATAGCTAGGTCAAAACAGTCAGTCCTCCCTCTTACTAGGATCTAACTGAAAAATTAAATTTGTAACTATAATCAAGCCAGAAATATAAACTGACTAGAAGATAAAAACCGGGCTCAGTGACTCACCCTGTAATCCCGTGCCTTTGGGAGGCTGAGGTGAGTGGATTGCCTGAGCCCGCGGGTTCGAGACCCGCCTGGGCAACTTGGCGAGACCTCATCTCTACAATAAATCAAAAATTAGCCGGGCATGGTAGCACGCGCCTGTAGTCCCAGCTACTTGGAAGGCTGAGGCGGAAGGATCGCCGGAACCCAGCAGGTTGAGGCTGTGGTGGCCGGGAGTGGCCATTGCACTCCAGTCTGGGTGACAGAGTGAGACTCCAACTCAAAAAAAAAAAAAATTAAAAAAATACCTGGGTGTGGTGGCACATGCCTATAGTTCCAGCTACTTGGAAGCCTGGGGAGGAAGGATCGCCTGAGCCCAGCAGGTGGGGGTTGTGGTGGCCATGAGTGCACCATTGCACTCCAGCCTGGGTGACAGAGTGACACTCCAACTCAAAAATATATTTTTTTATATATTTTTTCATACTGTTTTGCAACCTATCTCTGGAACTTTTTCATCTTGCAAAATTGAGACTGTATACATTAAACAAGTCTCCCATTTTCCCTTTCTCCAGCCCCTGCCAACCATCATCTATTTTGTCTCTGTGAATTTGACAACTCTAGGTACCTTATATAAGTGAAATCACACAGTATTTATACTATACTTTTGACTTAGTTATTTCACGTAGCATATAATTCTCAAGGTCCGTCTGTGTTGTGCATGTGTAGAATTTCCTTCCATGTTGATGCTGAGTAATGTTCCTTTGTATGTATACACACATTTTGTTTATCCAGTCATTTGTAGATGGACATTTGGGTTGCTTCCACCACTTGGCTATCATGAAGAATACTGCTATGAACATGGGTGTATAAATATCTCTTTGATATCCTTCTTTCAATTATTTTGTAAAAACATCCAGAAATGGATTTACTGGATTACATGGTAATTGTTTTTAATTTTTGTTTGGTTTTTTTTTAGTTGGACTGTCACTCTGTCACCCAGACTGGAGTGCAGTGGCCGCTCCCGGTCACCGCAGCCTCGACCTGCTGGGCTCCGGCGATCCTTCTGCCTCAGCCTTCTGAGTAGCTGGAACTACAGGCGTGCACTTCCACGCCCGGCTAATTTTTTGATTTAATGTAAAGATGAGGTCTCGCCAAGTTGCCCAGGCGGATCTGGAACCCGCGGGCTCAGGCAATCCACTCAACCTCAGCCTCCCAAAGGCACGGGATTACAGGCTGAGCCACCGAGCCTGGCAAGCATCTTTTTCTATGCTTGTTGGTCATGTGTAGGTCTTCTCTGGAGAAATGTCTGTTCAAGTCTTTTACCCGTTCTTAAATTGGGTTATTTGGGGTTTTTTTATATTGTTTTTTTGTTGTTGTTGAGTTGTCTTTTCTGTACTCTGGATTAACTTTTTAAGATATATGATCTGCAAATATTTTTTCCTATTCTGTACGTTGCTTTTCACTGTGTTTGTCCTTTGATGAACAGAAGTTTTTTATTTTGATGTAGTTCAATTATCCATTTTTACCTTTGTTTCTATGCTATTGTTGTCGCACCTAATCCAATGTCATGAAGCTCTTTCCCTATATTTTCTTCAAAGAATTTTTTTTTTTTTTTCAGAGTCCTACTCTGTTGCCCAGGCTGAAGTGTGATTGCACGCTCACAGCCACCAGAGTCTCGACCTGCTGGGCTCAGGCAATTCTTCTGCTTCAGCCTTCCAAGTAACTGGAACTACAGGCGCACACCACCAGGCCCCGCTAATTTTTTGAGTTATTGTAGAGCCAAGGTCTTGCCAAGTTGCTTAGGCTGGTCTCAAACCCATGGGCTCAGACAATCCTCCTGCCTCTACCTCCCAGTTCTGGGATTACAGGTGTGAGCCACGGTGCCTGGCTTCTTCAAAGAGTTTTATCATTTTAGCTCTTATATTCAGGTCCTGGATCCACTTTGAGTTAACTTTTCAATATTGTATAAAGGTGTATTTATATAGATGGATCACACCTGTATAAAGGTTTAAGATAAGGGTCCAATTTTATTGTTTTGTATATGAATATCTAGGACTATCCCAGCACCATTTGTTGAAGACTATTCTTTTCCCCGAAATGTTTGGGGCATGCTAGTAACAAACCTGAACTTTCAGTTCTATTCCCTTGGAGTACATATCTATCTTTATGCCACTAGCATGCTATCTAGATTGTTGTAGTTTTGTAATAAGCTGTAAAATCAGAAAGTGTGAGTCCTCCAATTTTTTTGTTTTTCAAGATTGTTTT